GTATGTTTGTAGGTGCTGTATGTGTGTTGGTGCTGTGTATGTGTGTAGGTGCTGTATGTCTGTGGGTGCTGTGTATGTGTGTGGGTGCTGTGTATGTCTGTGGGTGCTGTGTATGTCTGTGGGTGCTGTATATGTGTAGGTGCTGTTTGCAATAGCTCCCCGGGTCCTCTCCTGCCTCCCTCCCTGCATGTGGGTCGGTAGGGAGGGAGGCTGAGAGCAGAGCCGGTGCTCGGGTCGCGCCGGCTCTGCATGAGCCGACAGAGGAGATCCTGAGATCTCCCCTGCCGGTCTCAATACATAGGCGTGCCGCGGGGATTAGGGTGTGCCCAGACACACCCGGCACACCCCGTGCGCACGCCTATGGTGTCCATAAAAAGAAGGGTGAAGCTCAAAATACATAGATGACATAATCAGAAAGAGCCGTAATAGTCAGAAGTGGAACGCAAGCAAGGATGCCGGAAATCGTTACTGCATTCCACGCTGGAATGCACACTCGCAAGACGCAGGGAGCTGCCAAGCAGGACCGCACGCCTGATCGGAATCACAGGTGAATGTGAGTTTCATTATGGAGGCATATATAAACCGAGAACAGTCTGGGAGGAACTATTCATCCCTAAAGAAGTCCAGTCCAGACAAAACGTGTCAAATGAAGAACTCTCTTTATGTTTTGCATTTAGTTGTATTTGCTTAGTTTGTCCCTCTTGTTTCCTGTGTGGTATCCAGTACTCTTTGGAGGATACTTGAAGTCTCATATTTGACATTGCTGCTCCTTCATACATACCACTATTAGTGGAGATATGCTCATCTAAATTTTAAGTCTGTAAGTGCATTCTATCATTAAATTTGTGTTTTTATATACATATTGCACTATTGTGTTTCTCTTGTTCCAATATTAAGGATATATCAATGAGGAAGATTTTGATTTACCAGCTATATCCCAAGGTAGTTTTCTATCATCCCTTCCCCCATACCTCATTAATCATTTGGTTTTATTTATAGATCCCTTTTAATTATGTAAGGATTTTCAGATACATGAGGTTGTATAACTTGGAGGGAACACCTTTACTGCACATTGGGATTGTACACTCATGTTTTTTTTTTGTACTGCTAGCAATGCCTTCAGGGTTCATGGAAATACTAATAAGCAAGATACCCTTTTTAATGATCTATTTTGTCACATTTACTAAATGTGAGAAAAATTGCAATTTTGCTTATGTACTAACATATCAGACCCTGTGTGAATTATTGCAAAACAATTCAGACCCTGTATACCGGCAAAAACATTTAATTTCTGAATAAAGGTTGAATTAATCAATACTATATACAAATTGTCTATATTTGCATAATTACAATTTATACTTTTGTCCAATTTATACACAACTGTTTTACGATATGTTTAAATGCTAGGTATGCCTTCCTTGTTTTCAATATATGCTATATTAATATTTTTATCTATCAGAAAGTGCGCATTAGCCAATATGTATAATCCCCCTCTTTCCTTTACCACACCTGGTGTTAACCATAGTGCAAGCTTGAAGTTTGACAGAAATATATAAAATGGAGGGATGACATCATTTACCTTATTGTTGCATGGAATATCCTATTCCATTTAGCTTTGGCAGCCACATGCGATTCTGCTTTTGTTAATCAGGTGGAACATTCCTTTTTGATATAAGACCTTCGAAGCAACAACCTTAGCACAGTAACCATACAGCGAGCTTTAGTGACTATGATGTCAATTTCCCTAGTGCTTGCCCAGTGTAAGTAGTCAAACCATTTTCTAATGATTTGACT